CCTTGTGTTGTATGTAAGGCCTGGTATATTACAATGCCCTGCATACATACGTTTGTCTGGTAGGTATGGGTTCCTTCACCTACGTAGTGGTAATACTTGAATCTCCCTTTTAATGCAGGCCCAGCCGTGAGTCGCTTTTCTCTAACTCCACTAGACACAGCTTTCTGCAACAATAAAATCTTGTTTTAGGAGCTAGAACGGCGTTACCGGGAAGAGGTTGGCTGAGGATAGGCAAATACCTCCAGGATTGTTTCTTTGGTATGATTTTCCTTATCTTGGAATGGCACATATACTTCAGTTGTATATTTGATAGTCAAGCTAATTTTTCTTATAAGGGGGATTAGGTCAAATGACTACATTAAATTTTCATTACTGACAGATTCAGGCCATTTCTTAGTTTCTCCCACATGTGCGGGCACGGGCACATTACCACATTTGAGTTTCTAGAAAAACAGTATGCTCACGAATGGTCATATATTCAAGAGAAAACACATCCTTATTTTAAACACTTAACACTTTTATTAAATGAATTTTCATTCATTTAATTTATTTCATTGCATTTAATCTAAATGGACAGTCGAATAAAATATTAACGTTTTTATTATTAAAAACAATCCTTTGGTGTGACTTAGAAGGGAAGGAGTCCTTTTTAATCTCTAGGATGTATACTACTTAAAGGCTACTGAAATACACAGATGGAATGCTCTCCATGTGTGAACAAGAAAGCTCATTGTTTTAACTACTAAAGGGTGTATACAAAAGAAGGTACAGCGAAAACTCAGGCAGGAAGAGCAGTGATAAGCCATATGTTACAACTCACAAAGGCTTGGGTACTATCTCCAAATCAAGGGGATGCTCTTAGCATGCTTAACTGAAGGAGGCTTCCCAGAAAGAATGAAGCAAGGCTTCAGGAAAACGCTCAAAAGTTATCACTATTGATGCAACTCCTTGGACATGCTTGCTGGCCATACTCCTGAGCAAGTTTCCCTGTCCCATACCCTTTTGACTAAAAGCTCATTTACTGCGACATCTTCAATTTGGCACTAGTGGCAAGCCTTGTTCACATGCTATTGTCATCTACCTGTGCAGCTGAAGCTCCTGCCCATTTAAAATGTTACACACTTAGATGTCAGATGCCTACTAGCTGCGTGGACATGAAGCATGGCCAGCAGGGCTTGCCAGCTCTCACTCACGACATCGTGAGAGCGCAGCTCCTCTCTTCATCCCCTCTGCTTCCTCTGCTCTACTTTAATGTTTCTTCAGCTGCTTCTTTTGTGATCTTGCCTTAGGCTCTGAAGGAATCCTGAGTAGCCCTCCCATCTCTCCCAGTCTTCAGGTGCTTGCTGTTCTTCAAAGTGTATACACTTAAATGTCCTACCCTGGGCTGGGACACCTGGAGAGATGCAATGCTCACTTTAGTCACTGGACACTGCCCAGCAGACACACTGAGCACCGACTCCTCAGCTTTGCGGCACTGCAGGGTGCTTCACAGAGGCTCACCGTCCACTTCATCAGCTCCATAGGAAAAGGTAGATGGCTGGCTTTCATCTGTTGATTTAGGAAAGTGAGCCCGAGACTTTGGACTGTAAGTTCCAGCATCATTTTGAACAAAACTGAATTTCTTGACTTCATTATTTTAAAAAAGAACTGTACAAAACACCACGCTAAGGAATGAGAGGAGGGGAAGCTATGATTTATGGCTCTCCATGTAGAGGAGATTTAATTCTGCCTTCTGCTCAATGGCCTATCCATTGTGTGAGCAAAGTCAATAGCAATAATGAAATGTAGACTGAAGGGCTAAATCAATTCCATAAAATGCAATAGAAAGACTAGAGGACTGAGTAAATTTGGAAAGGCTAGAGCCTGCCAGATGAGTGTTTGGACAACAGGTAATTACAAAAATCAATACCTGGATATGAAAACATGACGGGCAGCCATCCATCACAAAGGGGGGAATAATTACTAACAGTCTAGGCTCTAAATAAGGAAGAGAGGACAAAACAAGCCTGCATAGAATTCTTATCAGAGTTTGCACATTCAGGTGTGTCTATGTTCATCCACACATGCATACCTCCACACATGTGCACACCTTCCCGTGTGACAGCAGAAAGGGCGCCTGCTCTACTGCATGTTCTCAGCTCAGAGGAAGTCTTGTCCTCAGTCCTATATCACCCTAGTGTTCCTTCTCATCCAGCTCATGGGAACCAGAGGACAATCGTCATGGCAACTGGGAGTCAAGGATGGGAGGACCAGTGGGAAGGAGATCCATTGATGATATGACCTCTCCTTCAAGAACGAGCTGTTGGAGAAAGCTCCAAACACTTTGAGGTAATACAGGCAGCTCATTGACATGGCAAATGCTAAGAGATAGTAGAGGCAGCTCAATGACATAGCCAAACAAAGAATATATGTGCACATGTGTGCACACACACACACATACATACAGACTGACTCAGACTTCCACAGACTCATGCACACACTGACATATTCAGACATACACAAGAACATCATTCACACTCATATGTGGACAGGCACACACACGTGAACATAGAGAAACTCAAGCCTACATATATACTTACAAGCACACTAGCATTTAACACACACATGTACACACTGACACACACATAGAAGTTCTCACATTCTGATATGGACATACATTCATAAGCTAAAGCTGTAACTTAATATCTTGTGTTCCTAGCCACAGAACAGGGGATGAAGCATGTTTACTCATGAAGCTGTCTGCAAAAATCAAGTCAATCAATCCCACAACCCCCCTCCCCCCAACACACACACACAACACACAGTTTCAGCATCATTAGTTTTTTCCATGGACTCATTTCTGCTTTTGTATCTTTCTCTTTTAAAGTGTCTTTATATTAAAAGTTAATCACACCATTTCCCTGCTTCCTGTTCCTTCACTGCTTTAAAGATAAGCCGAGAGGTTACAGGAGACAATAGCTTCTGTTTCAGATGGCAGGCTTGGCCGCTGGCACAGGAAGCTTCTTCTATCAGATATGATAGACGTGTTGGTTACCCTTCGCTGCACTGCCTTTGTCCACCACAGGGCACAGAGGGTAATTCTGATATAGCTACATGAGTTTGAGATCTACTGTAAGGCTGCATGGTAGCCAGCAGGCCTTGAGGCCAGTCCACAGAGCACGTGCGCGAGCTAGTGCGACAAGCAAGTACACATTTCCCCGGGCCATGGTGCCTGTGCCGCCTGACTGGATAGCTTCCTTTTCTAAAAGCTTAAAAGCTGCCACTTCTCTCTGTCCCTTCTGTCCCTCATCCAAGCAACCTGATAGAAAGCACATCCTTCCCCTTCAACAGAGCAGGAGATTTGAACCAGAGGAAGCCTCGTCTATTGGTAAGAACCCACTGCCCAACCACTCAGTACTAAGCCAGTGTCTTTTCCAAAGCTCCTGCAAGCCAGTTGTGGACTAGGCGAGAGCCACTCTGTTCACTCCTGAGAGTCTCGGCATGTGAGCAACACGCCTTGCTACACATTCCTGGGTGTGAATGACATTAGCAATCTCAATACCAGCACTGGATTGGGGGCAGAAACCCAGCTGGCTTGGGACTGACATGCCAAGTGCTCCTGAATCATTCTGTTGCCAACAACAGAATGAAAGATGTTCCTGGTCTCGAAACTCAAAAGCTCTACTGCTCAGAACATTGTCAGTACACGATCCATAATCAGGAGCCTGCCCTTCACTTTTGCAGAATGGTTGGGTATGGAGGAGCTATCAAAGCAGGGATCCTACGATGGTGTCTATATGTCATAACAGTTTAGTGTGATTTAGGTCATCTTAATAGTATAGGCACAGTTTTACATGCTAAATTTACCCTTGATGGTCAATATATTTCCTTGTCTAAACTTTGTCTATCTTAGCATCTGAGGTCAGGTAATTATGTGCTATGTGTATGTGCCTCGTGGATCACAGGAGGGTCTGTGGTGTTCCTAGTCTCTCCCCTCTGGTAACTAGGTCCATTACTAAATCACTCTCCAATTGTGACAGTTCAAAATGTCTCCAGCCACCAACATAACTGAAGGACCAAACTGGATTGCTGAGAACTACAAACACATGCGTTTTTACCAATGATAGGCACAAACCAACTTCTTAAATGAAAATCTGCTGGCTGACATACTTCCAAAAGCAAGCAAGACAAAAATCCAAAATAAATTGCAATGGCATCCTCAGATCTTTTCCTTCCATTTAAAGTTGCTAACATGTTACAGAGATGACTGACTCATTACAGTTTATAAAATATTTTGAAAATTTGATTACTCAGCTGCTTGCCTGCGAACGTGTATACTTTATCCAGAAAAAAAAAAAAGAATTTGAGCTAGCTGCAATGATCATGGTAATTTCCCAGAAATAAAATACACTACAATGTACATTGCACCTTAGGGCATTCCACAAACATGGGGCATTTTTAAACAACCATTTATGTGATGGACACAGACAATAATCTCTTTAATGGATCACATATATCCATATTATATCCACTACTGCTTTTGGAAACAGCTCAGAACAGTTGGTTATGTAGTAAACCCTACAGTGATCATCCTCCTAACAAGTTCTCAAAGATAGATGGGCCATCGTGAATCCTGACTATAATTTGAGGAGATAACAATTGATGTCTTGCATTTTTTTGGTCTTGGGAGACAGATTATTTCCAAAGACAGAATTAGGGAGAGGAAGACAAATCATAGCAACATCAGGCACCGAAAACTCTGCTTCTCAGCTTTAGTAAGGACAGATATGTCTGGTCCTTTGTCCTCAGTATTCAAACAGGAAGGGGGCATACACACATACACGTGCAATTAACTCCAATAAAAAGTGCTGTGCCTCAGTCTCAAAGATGTATCTACATGTTGACAATGGGAGCTTGTAATTTTCATTTTTCCTGTATTTTTTCTGTCGGGCATGACTCTGATCATGTCTGAGTGCTTATGAACCCAACACCATTCACTCGGCGATGCCGTGGGCACTTACCTCTGCCTTAATTTTATTGTCTCCGAAACAGAGGTGTTGCAGGTAAGCTGCAGCGTTGGACTGGACGGAAGGAAACTGGTGCTGTAGCATCTGTATCACTTCAGGCAGCTCCGGGTCTCTCCATCCAAACTCCCTGGATGAATGGAAGCAGGAGACCATGAGGGATAGCCCAGCACACTGTCCTACTAGCATCCACTAAATGTGCTTAACAGAGACGATAGACAACATCTTACAACTGTTTGTGCTTCCTCATGCACAGATAGGTCCAGTGCAGGCAGCATTTCTGAAAAGATCTTTGGCACCAGCTTTTAAGTATCCATATGAATATATGTTTATACTCCATGAAGATTACAGACATGTGATTTGAACTTCCTGAAAATGTATGAAAGATTGGAAAAATACGAAATAAAACGCTCTCCATGTTTTTTTTTTTTTAACTAGCGCTCAGATGGGGAGAAGATACGTTTCTCTAATATGTGACTTCAAAAGGAAGGCATATAGCTTTTGCCTCAATTATCAGATGAGAAAAATAATGGGTATAATCCAAAATGTCACAACGGCAGGTGAGCATGCTGATACTATTCTATTATTGTTATTTTTCATAATATCTTCTTCAAAAAGAGGCCGTCGCCAACACTAGAAAGTAATTCAGGTATGTAAAGCCTTTTAAGGGACAAAATGAAACAAAGGGGGAATAGACTTCTCTATCTGAGGTTGCAAGTGTAGCAGTCTGATGACACTTTGAAGGGAAATCATTCCAGCAGCTATTTGATGCATATTAACAAATTCTATGTGTCCTGTCTTTCTTTTTGTATTCTTTTCCTTATAAGAAGTAAAAATCAGTCCAAGAAAGTGGCTGTTTATTTACTTTCAAGGTAATATTCTCCGAAATATTTACGTCTATTCTAAAACTCATTTTTTTAACTGTTCATAAGAATGTTCTTCTATAAAATTACTCAGCTCCCTCTGGTAGACCATGTTGCCAGTAGGGAAAAAAAAACCCTCTGTGGGTTCTATTCTTACAGCAGAGAGCTGATTTTTTAACAGAGAACTAAAAAGGAGCCTCTTAGACCACAGATAAAAACCTGACCTCATAAGTCACAGTGAGGACTATTTATCTGGAAGATGGACTCGGGGAAAGATGGGGTGACTTTGCAGCCACTCTTGCTCCTGGTGCAGTGACTCAGAAGCCTACAGCTGACTGCTGCAGGTCAACGCTGTTGCCTGAGCATAGGAGTCATGAAAAAATGAGTCAGAGAAGAGAGAGACAGAGGTTAAAAGTTTCTTGGCAAATCCTAACCTGTTCTTTTTATCTTTCCTTTATCACAGCTGGTAGAGCTGTCGAGCAAACCCCAAAGCATGTTGGTGCTGAAGACAAATGAAGCAGAAAGGTTTCTGAAGATGGCTAGCTTTTATTGGTGTCGATAAAGCATTTGATTTCACAGTGTGGGAAGACTTCAATAAACTTGCATTCTGTCTTCTGCTGACACATTTCTCAAAAGAAATATAACACACATTTGTTGAAAATATGCCTTCATCAAATGAAGGAGAGAAAATATGCCCAGGGGATTACTGAGGAAAATAACTATAGGTCAAAAATTGAGAAGTCAGTTTTCCTATCAACTTAATTTCCATTTGTTGCATATATCCAAATCACCTCTGTAAAGTTAAAAAAAAATTACCGTACTCAAATACTAGCCCAGTAGAATTATCTGCCTTATGTAAATGAAGCCTAAATCTATAGAGAACCCATAAATGAAACTTCCATGAAAAGATACTGCGTGGCTAAGATGAATTTACGTAAACTTACACTTTCAGAAAGCAATTAGTAAAAATCTCATTCCAGCATATTTTATTAGCCAGATGGTGATTGGTCTATTAGGCAATGGCTTATGGGACGTGAGCATACATCAAGGACACCTTTTGAGCAAGAGCTCCAGGAAGGAAGTCTTAGGGTTTCCTGAACATCTGTGTGTTCATGCATCTATGTAGGTGCACGTGCGTATGTGCACACACAAACACACACACACACACACCAGACTCAGATGTTGCAGATGACTATCCCGAAGCCTTGTGATTCCATAAGACCTCCAAACTGTTCTCTGACAGGTCAAAGAAAGGCTGGGCAGCTTCCTCACCCCACATCCTCAGGCCTCTGGGATCACCTCCCACCTCAATGCTCTTCTAGACAGTCCAGTGTGGATCTGACTGCACTTCCCTGGTTCAAACCCTCCAAAGATTTCAATGTCTTGATGAGAGGCATGGATATCCCCTAGTCCCTTCTATACTCTGCCGGATCTGTACACTGCTATAGAGCGGGGACACTGGCTATGTGGATGCCCACTGAGCCCATCTGTCGGAGTGAGATAATAATTCCTACCTTAGAGTACAGGTGGGATGGTTAGCAATAATAGTTACAGCTGGCACCCAGTGTGGGCCCTCTAGAAATGTCAGGGATTCCATATAACTAGATGAAGAGAGAAGAATAATAAATAAGAACCATCTATAACTCCTAGAATGTGAACTCATAACTCTCATTTGTTACTGGGCTTTATCCTGGAAATGTTAATGGAACCGGAGAATATGCAAATGTAACCTTTTCTCCATTAAAGTTTGTCACACAGACCAACAATATTGTGACTACCCTCTCACTCATGTATGGACTGTCTGCCTTGTTAAGATCACAAGGCTCAGCACAGAGCTAAATAGCTAGCAGTTTTGAAATTCTTTACTATGTTGTCATGCTGGGTTGGCGAGCTGTCACAACATTTTATCAAGATCCTCTGTTCCCAAAGGAATCTGAGGACAACCTGGTCCTCACAATTCAAATTTCCCTTCTAGTAAAGCTTCCTGTTAGACACCTTTCCTTTGACTGCAGCATGAATAACTTCAGTGGTGCCTGTTTAGACTAAATGTCAAAAATCTCAATCATCTGTGCATGTGTTCACGTACATGTGTTGGTGTATACATACAAATATAGATGTGCAAGCACACATATGTGTAAGTGTGTAGAAACCAGAAGTCAGTATTAGGTGATCTCCTCAATTGCCCTCCTCTTTGCTTTTTTTGAGACAGCTGTTCAGTGACCCATTGACTCGATTGGGCTGGTTGGCCAATCAGCTAGGAAGATTCTTACTCCCAGGCTCTGACCTCACTGGACCTGGTTACTATACCCACTTTCTGTTTTCGTGGGAACACTTGGAATCCAAGTTCAGTTCCTTAGATTTGTAGGGCAGGCACTTTATGATCTAAGCTATCTCTTTTAGGCCCAGGATCATTACAAACTTTTGAACTCTAAAAGTTTAAAGACTCTACTAATTTTAACTTTTAGATCCAGAACTGTGTGGTAGGCTGTTTTGTTCTTTATTTCACTTTATCTGGGAGAAGTTGAGAGTGGTTCAGAGGTGATGGAATTAGAGAGTAGGCAGAAGGCTTTCATTAATAATAAAAAGGAGATATTTCCATTTTCACTAACTAAAGTGAAGTTATCTGATGATATTCACATGAAAGAATTAATGACGTCCACTTTATTCCTGAGTAGTCTGCAATCCCAAACAAAAACCTGCCAAAAACCTGCTAATTATATTTTAAAAAATTTTTACTTTGATATAAATAGTACCAGAATTAGGAGCATTTAGAAAGAAAGTGAATTGTTATAATTTTGTACAGAGAAGTTGCTTTCTTCACACTGTACAGTTTTCATAAAATGGATTCACCCAGTCATATCACAAGCACGCATTCACTCTGCAATGACACTTGGGTTCAGTATCATGACTGGGCCAGCTACCCACATGTGTCTAGGTCATGAGGGCTATTATAAGTAACCATGACAATAGGAAATAACAAAAATGTAAAGATATATTTTTTATATTTAAATGAAATAACTGAATTACACTAGGAAATCAAGAGAGACTTGTCTGTAACATTCTGTACCTGTCCCTGGGTAGATGACGTGGTGATTTTAATGAGAATGTCCTCTGTAAGATCAGACACGGGAGGATATGGCCCCCAATTAATGGAACAATTTGGGAAAATTAGGAAGTGTGGACTTGTTGGAGGAGGTGTTTCACTGGGGGCTGGGCTGTGAGCTTTCAGAAGCCCATCCCAACCTGTTAGCTTTTTCTCTTTCTGTGCTCTGCTTTCGATAAAGATGTAAGTTCTCAGCTACTGCTCCAGCACCATGACTGCCTGCCTGCTGTCATGATTCCCACTGTGCTGGTCACAGACTTTGATCTTCTGAAACCATAAGCCCCAAATAAATTCATTCTTTTATACGTTGCCTTGACAATAGCAATACAAAAGGAAGGAAAAAAGGAAGGAAGGAAGGAAGGAAGGAAGGAAGGAAAAAAAGAAGGGAGGGAGGGAAGGAAGGAGGGAGGAGGGAGGGAGAGAGGGAGGAAGGAGATATTATGGGAAGTCACACCACAGCCTCTGACATCCCCCAAGCCCGAACTGTTGGGGTCAGGGAGTGCTTCCTTATCTGGAAAAATACACGATGCTGATGTGATGTAGTGAAGGGCTCTATGAGGGAAGGAACACTTGCCACAGAAGGTGACAGTGGTACCTTGAGATAAGATGGGCTCACATCTTCAGAATGGACAAAAGGATCAAGCGTAATGGGGTGTCTGGAGAGCAGAGCTCTGGAGTTTTCAAAGGTAAGGGAGGAGATTTTCCTTTAGAAGGGACACTAGTAACCCTGACTCCTTGGCTGCAGCATGGTGTACCTAACTTTGGATAGCGGTGTGCTGTTTTAAGTCCCTGAATATTGTACTGATTTGTAGTAACAGCAAGGAATGAATTCTGAAGTATAGATCACTAAAGCACAACCCTGGGAAGCCTGAGAGACTCCCCTCTATTAGGGCAAAGGGGTAGAGATAATTGCTTGATATACCACAAGGAACAAAACCTCTAAAACTAATCCTGAGTGTCTTACCTGTCATGTCCAAGTATGAGCATAGATTATTGACATCCTGTGACTTCTTTACCACCTCTCAGGTATCTATGTATTTGTAATCATAGTTTTCTTAATCTCTATTTTATTTCTATAACTTTGTAGGCTTAACTTCTTGTATGTCCATGCCTACATGCCTGCTTTGTCTTAAGATCCACCCACAAATCTATCTACTCCTTCTG